CTTTAAAGCTGACATGAATTCTTAAAAACGCAACATTTTCATCTATGTACGACTTGTGTCATACCAACGATAGCCGTATTCCGCCATATTTCTTTCAGATACCTTGTCTCACAGTAACGATGTATACCCCAATGCGCTCGTTACAGTTGAATGATTTTTTGGTTTGGGTATCGACTTGTGCACATCTCCGATGGTAAAGCATATATGAGAACTCATAAGGAGATCAAGACATTTCTAAACCACAATAAACAAAATAATAATCATATTTCTGAATAATTATTGATTTGAATCAAAAGAAAAAAATGCAAGTTTGGTGAGAAATTTAGATGCACGAGTACGTATTTTTACAATGCGCCAATTTATGCAGAATAAACTTGAAATAAAAAGCAGTAAAATCTGCAAACACATTTTGAAATTATTATCATTTGAATGGCACAAAACAACCAACGTCTTTGATTTGCGGCCCCTATGCAATTGGTGCATATCGATAAAACGCCTCGAACGCTGTAAACGTACCCATACCTGGTAATAAGGTTACTGCATCGGTTCGAAGATGTGCACAAGTCAAGTGATATACACTCTGAATTCCATTTATTGAAATATGCATCACAAAAAAGAAATAAACTCCGTAAAAGCTCAATAGTAAACACACTGTCATTACTCCGTACAGACAAGCACCTAGTCCGTGCTGATCAGATTTTGGTCAGGGAAAATATCACAAGTGGAAAGAGAAGTTATTTGGTATTTGTGCGGCTGAAGGGGGGGGGGGTTATTATAACTGCTGTTCATAAGCTATAATTGTGAATTGTCTATCTACATGTAGTTCTAATATACATTCTATACAAAGTCACGTATATAGTCTGCAGTTGGTTTGCGTCATTTGTCAATTATAACTGATTATTGTAGTACTAATCTCAAATCTAAACCAAGTAATTTGATGTACGGTAATTATTTACTTCAAATCTTAAAAGCACTTCACCAGAATACAATTTTTTTATGTGTACATAGATCTATACGTTCTTTAACACACAAACACACAAGAAATGCCATCCCCTGTTCAGATTGACATTTAGGTATTTGATTTTTTAGGGGGGGCGTGCAAAAATAATTGACATGACCGTAATCTAAATATTCTTGGAAGACAGACATCTCTGCCGAATTCAATTTTGAATTTTTTTTTTAAATGTGTCACTCCGACCACAAAGTATGTGCATTTTGAGGTATGTATAAATGTTTTATAATTATGGTGTTATAGAGAGACTTTCGAGATTTCAGTATCCCTGCCTGATAGTCTAGCTATTTTTTTTATATTTAAAAATAATTTCTGTAGGAGTATTTGGGAGATAATTTTAAAAGCTAGGGTAGGTAGTCTTGACACTGGTTGAATACGGATAATTTGTATTTACTCTTTCGTATATTGAACTAACTCTCTCTCTCTCTCTCTTTCTCTCTCTCTCCCTCTCTCTCACTCTGTAACCATCTCTTAGGGCAGTAATAGGTATAAGATCCTATGCACTTTGTGCTGTCCATTTATAAAGCCTTAGGACAGATCAAGGATTTTTTTCAGGCGGGATGTCGAAACTTCATAAATTGTATAATAATTTTAATTTGGACGAGAAGTTAACCCAAATGGCCAAATTGAAAGAGAAACTAGAGGTATTGTGAGCAATGAGCTCACTAAATGATACCCCAGCCTCCCATACGGTTATAATGACAAATTCCATATTTTGCTGTTGTCGCTAAACCCAAAATACGTGTCGGATCAAAAAGTAAAATAAGAGGTGCACAATGGTAATATGTAATAAACCTATAAGATTCTGTGAAAGTTTTATTTAATTTCACTAAGTGGTATAAGAGGATTTGGGATAAGAGATGGGTACCCCAAAGCGTAGCAGACCGACGGACGGACATAACTATTAGTATATACCCTCCCACTTTTCAAGCGGGAGATATAATAAACGTGAAATATACATCACAGGAATAGGTACATCGGGAACTTTCTCAAATACCTTCTCAAACGCATTGGCGTCGGAAGCAAATTGAAAGTGGGGGGGGGGGGGCTAAGTGCAAAGAATTTTTTTTTATACATTCAAAAAATCTGACAAGCTTAAAAAAGGGGGAAATGTCCTTTTCCTAAACACGAATATCCTATTTCGTGTGGGAAAGGGGGGGGGGGGTTGGTTCGAACTTCAATAACAAAATTTTTCTCCAAACACCAACATTTTCCTCTTTTTTAACTTATACTGCGACTTGTCTGTGAAAAGCGGGGGGGGGGGGGCTAAACCTACGCAGCAATATTCAATGTCTATACTAAGTATATATTTGTAAAAAAGCCACCCCCGGTTCCGACACTTATATGCTGAACCTGGACAACAGTCAATGGAATTTTTATAAAGGTAATTGTAGGTAGAATGCAGAAATCCTCACGGGGAGTTTCCTCTCTCTTTTTATCTGCTTTATCTAGTAATCATTAATTATTTATGTCTAGAAATTTATTTCACATTAAATTCTATTTTCATTATCATTGTACCACAGAATCCAACTCGTTTATTATACCCCTCGCAACAAGTTGCGTGAGGTATAATGTTTTGGACCCATCAATTAGCCTTTTTTTTTGGTCAGCGCAACTTTTTATAAACTTATGCACAGAGTTTTGTCGAACTTTCGAGATATCTAAAGGAGTCAATGTGTCTGTATTTGCGCATCACCAGGAAATTCCGAAATCTTTATTTTTTCGGGAATTTCCACACTTTTACATTTAGATTTTGGCCATATCTTGAATACAAAGATGAGCAGTTTGTCAGGGCAATTCCTCATAAACCGCTGCACACAATTTCGTCAAAATTTTGCAGATGTTTAGGACAATGTGTATAGATGTGCATATTACAAGGAAATTACGATTCCTTTATTTTTTCTGTGAATTTCAGCACTTCGACTTTTGTGGGAGCGTGGTGTATGTGAATTTGCTCACTTTTTCTTTCATTGTTCATAAAATTATAAATAACTTTAAGCCAATACACAGTATTTATTTGATTATATTTGATCATAAAGAAATCCGATCTGTTTCCGACGTTTTTCTTAAAATATTTTTATGAAAGTGTTATGCATGTTTTATTACCCCCCCCCCCCTTTCACAGGAAAATATCTTCATATCTTCAAAAGGTAAATGATTCGTAATAATGCATGCTTTATTATAAATTTGATGAAGTTAAGCCATGTTTTCAAAAATTTTATTTACACCATTTACAGACAAGAGTAATGTTTATTCTTGAAAAAAATTATTTGCATTATTTTCAGTCAACCCCACGGCGCTTTCAACCTTTGATATTTTCCCTGACCAAATAAAATGATCGGCATGGACCACGTGTGTCCAAGCAATTTTTACTGTTGAGTTAGCAATGGATTACATGATTTCTGAGATGCATTTTTCAATAAAAGTAAAATAGGATAATTCTTTCGACATGTGCACATCCCTGTAACGATAGCAGTATTCAGGTAAATATTTCTATCACTGAGTTTGACGCGTTTTCTCGACTGACCTGCATGGAATTTTTGCTCTACTTGGATGTATTCCGTGTAAGTGTATTTTATATATTGCAGCAAATGCATTCAAAAATAATTTAATTCTCGTTATAGTTCTAGTTTTTGTTGAATTTTTACTTTTCAAACATGTATTGGTCAGTTTATGGACTTCTAAGAACTATGCTATCGGGGATGTTCACATGTCGACAGCCAGGATAGAAAATCACTCAAGTGAAACAATTGTAAAAGGCTATATATAGCAGGTACAGGTGGCCAAAAATGTTCGATTAAATATGGCGGAATCGAAGAAATATGGCGGACAAAGGCGTACAGGAATGTAGTAAGTCGTACAAAGATGAAAACTGATGCCTTTTTAAGAGTTCATGTCAGCTTTAATGTACCCTGGTATATTCATTGAGATAAATCGAGTCGATATTTGAATGGATATTATTGTTAATTCATAAAACTGAAACTTAATAAACTCTGAAAGCCAAATCGAACGCTAAATCAAGGATTTTCTTCTTTTTATTGTAATTTTTTAAAAAATAATTCTGTTTCCTAGGTGTGTTAAAAAAGATCGGTTAATAGAGGATTTCAATAAGTGCACCCTGTAATTTTATCAGACTGTAAGAAGACCTGGTCTGCAAAGACCATTTAAAAGTTGTCAATAAAGATCTCCAGCATCTTTTCAGTTTCAACTTCAGAGTAGTGTCACATTGATATTCAACAATTTGGAAGTACTAGTAATTTTTTATGGTGATTAGTCAGAAGATATGCGAATTTACAAGTTCAATTTTATTGAGAAAGTTGTTGTATATTATTTCAAAAAGACAAATATTTTAATCATGAGAAATTGATATTTAAAGTTTACAAAAGTTCTTGGTTATGAAGTTTCTGACATTTAAAAGAATGGAAGATTATTTTTTTAAGTCCTTTGGATTTTTGCCACGTTTGGTTTGTTTTACCATGCGCCATGCAGAGGACCCTTTGAAGATTAAATACAGGGTAATGTAGCATATTTATTTGTTTTTTAGGCAGAAGATTCTCAATCCTCCAAGGCACTCGATCCCACTTCTGATGTTTTAAAGTTCCGTGTTTGCTCTGCTCCTATATATTTTGTATTGTTTTATGGACTCTTGATCTTGAATACTTTTCTTTCTCCATGTTTCATTCTTTAAACTTTTGCCTGAATCAGAGTAAATGTTTTTTTTTTTTCAAAAACGCATTGATGAATTTTTAATCTTGTAAATGCTTTGAAAAGACCAGATGTATATTTTTTTTTATTAAGAAGAGGATCGTAAGTGCTGGGATTCGTTGTTCTAAATTGAAATATAATTTCCTGTCGTACGCAGAAATATATATATTTATATCTTTAAAGTGAATGTTATCGAGACATCCGTTTCTTCTGTAAGTGTTTATGAAGTAGGAAAATATATGTTATAAAAAGAAATTTGACTGCATGATATTCAGAAAAAAGTTATTTGAGTCATACACAAAGGACTGAGGTCTGTATTACGGGAATTCAAGCCTATAGTTGCCTTTCTTTGCAAAATAAATGTAGTATATTATGTAGTAGAGAACAAAGATATGGGTAGCAGAGACTGCTATCGGTCAGTTATCCTTGTTATTATATGTGTACGGGGAAGTTTTAATCAGCTACATGTATATCCACCGTAAGTAAAAGGTTTTGCCTTCCTTGATTTATATTTTCATAGCTGTCATAGTTACCATTATTAACCATTTCATCTCTCTCTCTCTCTCTCTCTCTCTCTCTCTCTCTCTCTCTCTCCCACTCACACACACACCCTCTCACATACCCTTACATACACTTGCCTCACACACACACAAACAAGGAATATATTTGACTGTGATGCACGTACATTGCCTTTATAAACGTAATTAAGATTATGTTTGTTGTATTTTTTCAGACTTCTCAGGATTCCTCGTAGTTATTGCACTTTTAGGATCGAAGGAGAATGTATCAGTATGTTTATTGAAAAAATACTTACTGATAATTGAATTTAAAAGTGTTATTTAATAATTTAAAAGGAAGTAAATATATATTATTAAAAAAAGAAAACTTGTATCTGTGTATATGGTTACATCTACTAGACTGTTGGGGAAACATAATAAAATATTTAATAATAGATGTTTACAGACTTAAATTATACAAAAATAAAATCGAAAGCATCAAATATGAGTTTACTTGATATATCAAAATTTAAGGGTGTATGAATGGATACTATGGCGATAACTGTGAACAACCCTGCAGCTACCCTAACTATGGAAATAAATGTCAGTCAAAATGTTACTGTGGAGAAGACGAGTGTGATCATATCAATGGATGTAAAGGTATGACATTATCAAAATAGTCAGTAATACACGTACAAAAATCATATATAGCGTGTGTTTGATCATGCATGTGTTCGTATGTGAAGCAGATTTCATGATACGAGATTAAATTTTAAATTTGGTAAATAAAAAACTCTATTTCACGATAAGATAGAATACACGCATGATACGATAGGGTACACGCACGATACGATGGTATACATGCACGATACGACAGCACAGGATTTTCGTGTAATGGTGTTTGAAATGCCTTAGATTTTTATCTATTTTATATTTAATATATATATTTAAGAATATCCGATCCTCAGCCAAAAAGGATTTCTCCAAAAATTAATGTTTGATTTGAAACGCATCAAAATGAAGCTTGAAAATGATTTTTTTCTTCTTGGAACAATTTTCATTTTATTCATCTTAATAAGATTCAAGGTATTTGGAAGTCTTAGAAAATGTCTTATAAAAGTTGATATTTGTACCCTACACACAAAAAATAATACAGTTTTAAAGAAAAAGATTTTCTTGAATCTAGCCTTAGATACCAATGCTTATTAGCATGATATGAAATAAGAAGTGATTTGTGGTGTCTTGCAATGATAGCAAAAGTCTTTAACACTATGTATTATGGAATACATGACGGAAATAGAAGACAAAAAAATACTAAATAAGTATAAAAAAAATCATGACAATTTCTCTGAATGCCCGGATACCTATCATTTTTTAACCTAAAATATATTTACCGACTAATTTGCAATTAAAAAATGCATTGCTGATATTCAAATTTGCCTTTTCTGCAAAAATATTTGAGATTTGACAATTTTCCCTATATAATATGATTAACTGAATTCTTTAACTTTAAAGAAATACTGTGGATAAATTTACATAACTTTGTGGATTCAGAGATACTTTTATGACTATTTTGATAACTTAACTGCTCCTTACATAAACGTGAGGATACTAAATGTAAACATTATTAATATAATAACTTATAAATTTAAAACAAAATCAAAATAAATTTAAAACAATGACTTTTTTCGTCATAAAAAAATTACACAAATCTTCCGTATAGAGTGAATAAAGGGATAAAATGGCAGTAGCTGTGGTTTATTTACGCTTATAACATTACACTTCTTTGAAGTTCAACGTTTTTGACGAAAAATTAAAACACGTTTTAGCCTTTTGAACCTCTTTTCGTGTTATGGCGTTTTGAGTGCCATAGATTTCATAACATTTTACTCAAAACAAATGTGTAATGTAAATATTACATTATTATTCATACATAGCACAGTTAAGGTTACAAAAAGGGGACAGAGCCTAATTTGTACGGGAAAGCTTAACTATGAAATCCTCCAAAAACCAACAATTGTTAGAAATACCACAAAATGAGGTGATTTGCTGTTTTTACCTGTGGGAAACCATCAAATTATATTCTAATTAACTACAGCATGCTGATTTGCCGATAGTTAAATGCCACATAACAAGTTATAAACAATTCACTGATTGCAATCCACTTGGCGACGTGATGTCATTTCGTAAAACGTGATGCAGTTTATATGTAGTTAGAAGCAGATCAACTAATATTTTCTCAACGAAATATATTCTATAATTGATTAAAATTTTATTTACAGTTTTTCTCTAGGTCATTAACCTGGATTCAATGTATATTTCACGATTTTATTGATATATTTATTGTATATTTCGTATTTGTTTGATACTGCCGTATATTTGTATGCAAGTACATCGGGGGTATTGTGGGGGTCTTTATTAATCGATCTAGTGCAAGGACATACATTCAGTGGATCATAGTAAGATTCTACAAATCAGTCCTAGAAATATCAAGGTATCTAAAAAGTTGCGTGTCCCTGATGAAATCTTGAAAATAATTTAAGTATATCAATATTTCATGCCGTTGACGAGCAAAAAATACAGCATTCGGTGAAACAAGTGGGATTTTAACAGTAAAATTGCAGAATCTATATAGGATCGCAGCACTTTTTCAAAATCTCCAATACTTGTTGAAAATCTTAATAAACTTAAGTTAGAATTTTACCTTGGTTATGCCCTTACACTAGTGAAATTTATAAGTAACCTCAATACTGCAAGTAAATGTGCTAAAATCAAGTGACTGCAGCATCACATGACAAGTCTATATATAAAATCTAATCGTCCTCAATATATAGTTATTAACCATAATACCAATTATCCGATATGAATATAGTACTAAAAATAACCGCCTTTCCGATTAATGATGAATTCATTTTTAATTACAAAATATTGTCGATATTTCTACGCGCACCTTAACTGTACTGCATATCAAAAAAAGTTTTGCAATATTCCTTATAGAGTGTATGAAGGGTTATAATGGCAGTAGCTGTGACCAACCGTGTAGCTACCCTACTTATGGAAAGGATTGTCTGTCAACGTGCAATTGTGAGGAAGAGTACTGTAATCATACCACTGGATGTAAAGGTATGGCATTATCAAAGTGATTGGTATTTTTTTTTAAATATCAATTGTATTCCCTTGCAGTTGGTAACTAAACAAAATGATGTATCTATTCTTTTGTTATTTAATAACGAATATCATGTTAATGTTTGGAATTCTTTTTGCGACATCTTCTCATGCATTTAACAGGATGATGATTGATAGGTGAAGATCTTTAATACAATTTAAAACACTCTTTCTCATTAAGTGTCCATATCTCTCTTGAACCAAAATTGATTTATTGAACAGAGCCATTATATTCTTTAAAATATCATTTCTTTCGTTTTTATTTCATGAAGATACATGTACATTTATTTTTAGTGAAATTCAATACAGTGAAATTCATTTACGGCCAATCGAATGCTTCAAGTAACCTTTCTTTACTCATTGCAAGAAAATAAAAACGAGTCATTGACTGGCTATTTGCCATCAACGCGTTTTTACTCCATCGATGGTATTAACGTATTCA